AAATAGAGGAATGCTGCTTCAGGTTGACTTAACCTTCAACAAAACAAATTTTGAGTCCAGTGGGGCACCTTGAAGACCAACAAAGTTTTATTCAAGGCGTGAGCTTTCGTGCACAAGGCACACTGCCTCAGACACGATGAAATGTTGGTCTTCAGCCCAACATGGCTACCCACATGGATTAACCACGTTGTCTAGAGCTGAAATTTTGTACTAGGCTTCATATACAATGATGCAGTGCTGAATAGGTTCTCTTTGTAAAGTTTAGTTCCCTGGGGTTTTTTTAATTTGTACATTTTCTTTTCCAGAATAAAAAGAAGAAGAAGCTGGATAAAACTCCTAAAACAGCACAGGGAGGTTCGATCACCACTCTGTTCAGATCGCAATCTCTTGAATCTTGCCGGGGGGGGGGGGATCAACCTTTGTTCAAATTTTCAAAATTGGACTGAAACTGTTCTGTGACCAAAAGTTCTGACACTGCCTCAACCATCCCCATCCATTTCCTGTTTTGTCATTTTAAAAGACGTCCAATGCTGTTGGGGGACAATGTGGTTTGTCTCCCTAGTCTAGGAGTGCACATTTGGCCAAGCTGACTTCAGGTGTGTTCAGCCAGGATCACAAATACTTTGCCACAGCCCTCCTCCTCACCCCCATCTCTTTGCCCAGTTGATCTAGGACATTTTAAGGAGTTCTGGGTTCTCTCTTCTCCATGTGTGCTTCTGCCTTCTACATTTTATTGCTACCACAGTGACTCTGTGAGGCAGGTTAGGCTTAGAGAGTATGACCCTAGGTATCACACACTCTTAAATGCTACAATGCCCTGGCTGTGTGGACTGCACCCCACAGGAAAAATCTCTGATTATCACAAAACCCTGCACATTGGAGCTTTGGTATATTACAGTTCTCAGTTATGTAGGCAAAGTCATCTGTCACTGCCACAAAAAGTGTTCGTCCACCTCCGTGCCAAAACCAACTCACTGCCAAAAATACACAACTATGCCCAGAGTTATAATTACATCGGAGCCGTCTTAATGGTAAGAGACAGTCAAACTGGCCTGTCAAACGACACTTCATGGAAAACAGTTGCCCATTTTGAACGAGGCTGCTGTGTTACTGGCAAGTATATGCAAACACTTCATACATAATCTGTGGAGATCAAACAACTTTTCCCTTCCTGGTCACACATTCCTTATCAGATTGGAGCACTGTGCTAATAAGATCTCAGCTGGTTACTCCCTTTCCTGACCGGCCCAATGTTTAATCCGTACATCAATTAGTACATCATTAACTCCAACAGGAAAAGGACTGCTTCCTTAAACAGCCTTACAGAATTCACCAAGTCACCATTTGCCCTGACACACACGCCACCCACAACCAAGTCTTGCTGCTGGAAGCACAACAAGCGATCCAATTGTGTTCTTTTAATTATAGTAAGCTTCTTTTCCATAAAAAGTGTGGTTCACAATGAAACCTAAATTTAACTGACATAAAAACAAAGTCTGGATTCATAATCCCTTAAATTTTAACCTGCAGCCTCTATCAAAACTCCGTACTCGGTTAGAGGTTGCTTTTTATATGAAGAATGGGCCATGGTGGGGAAAGTCTTTCTTGAGAAGAAACAGTAACTGAGGCAGTGGACTGGAGTGGTGTGAGGTTGATAACAACTCTGCAGAGAACCAATGCAACTGGCACCACAGTTTGCTGCAGGAGGAGTGCAAGACCATGGGACTACATACAGCCTAGCAAAATGTAATATCCTTTATGATCTATCCCGCGTGGAAAGATACACTTTGGAGACAGACTAACATCAACACAACAATTGTATACACTAGCAAAGAGGGAAAACTTTTCATTTTCTACAGAGCCGCTTAAGTTGGATATGAAGAAATATTTCAGCTTTACAGAGAATGGCAACAGAGCGTAGATGCCCCGGCCATCAGCTACTTCACAATTTTAGTATTTCAGCTGCTGTTTGGCCAGGTCGGAATTTGCAGTGAGCAAGAGTTTAGTACATTATGAATTCTTAACAGCTACAAGAAAGGGTACACAGCGGGTGCCGAAGTCTCCCCTGCCGTTGGCCATTCTGGGGAAATTCTGGCAGAACCTTTGGCAAAGCCCACACAGAATTCTCACTGATCTGTCCCAGAATTCAGTCTCTGTGTAGAATCCTCACCAAGAGAACTTTCAG